GTTTTGCTTTTTCATCTCTGGCCTTTCCTGTTGGAGTCACGCTCAGTCCGTAGAAGGAGGAGGAGAGACATACGCTCTGTCTCTGCTCCCTCTCTTACACACACACACACTCACCACACACCACACACACACTCAGGCCCTTCCTGTTGTTCATAGATGGCCAGTCTGAGTCTAACAACGCAGGGACCACACGGGGAAAGCTGAGGAGGAGAAAGGGTGAGAACCAGAGAGCGAGAGAAGCAGAGCAGCGACAGCAGCAGAGGCGACAGCAGAGACAGCAGCAGAGGCGACAGCAGAGACAGCAGCAGAGGCGACAGCAGAGACAGCAGCAGAGGCGACAGCAGAGACAGCAGCAGAGGCGACAGCAGAGACAGCAGCAGAGGCGACAGCAGAGACAGCAGCAGAGGCGACAGCAGAGACAGCAGCAGAGGCGACAGCAGAGACAGCAGCAGAGGCGACAGCAGAGACAGCAGCAGAGGCGACAGCAGAGACAGCAGCAGAGGCGACAGCAGAGACAGCAGCAGAGGCGACAGCAGAGACAGCAGCAGAGGCGACAGCAGAGACAGCAGCAGAGGCGACAGCAGAGACAGCAGCAGAGGCGACAGCAGAGACAGCAGCAGAGGCGACAGCAGAGACAGCAGCAGAGGCGACAGCAGAGACAGCAGCAGAGGCGACAGCAGAGACAGCAGCAGAGGCGACAGCAGAGACAGCAGCAGAGGCGACAGCAGAGACAGCAGCAGAGGCGACAGCAGAGACAGCAGCAGAGGCGACAGCAGAGACAGCAGCAGAGGCGACAGCAGAGACAGCAGCAGAGGCGACAGCAGAGACAGCAGCAGAGGCGACAGCAGAGACAGCAGCAGAGGCGACAGCAGAGACAGCAGCAGAGGCGACAGCAGAGACAGCAGCAGAGGCGACAGCAGAGACAGCAGCAGAGGCGACAGCAGAGACAGCAGCAGAGGCGACAGCAGAGACAGCAGCAGAGGCGACAGCAGAGACAGCAGCAGAGGCGACAGCAGAGACAGCAGCAGAGGCGACAGCAGAGACAGCAGCAGAGGCGACAGCAGAGACAGCAGCAGAGGCGACAGCAGAGACAGCAGCAGAGGCGACAGCAGAGACAGCAGCAGAGGCGACAGCAGAGACAGCAGCAGAGGCGACAGCAGAGACAGCAGCAGAGGCGACAGCAGAGACAGCAGCAGAGGCGACAGCAGAGACAGCAGCAGAGGCGACAGCAGAGACAGCAGCAGAGACAGCAGAGGCGACAGCAGACACAGCAGCAGAGGAGACAGCAGCAGAGGCGACAGCAGAGACAGCAGCAGAGGCGACAGCAGAGACAGCAGCAGAGACAGCAGAGGCGACAGCAGAGACAGCAGCAGAGACAGCAGAGGCGACAGCAGAGACAGCAGCAGAGGCGACAGCAGAGACAGCAGCAGAGGCGACAGCAGAGACAGCAGCAGAGACAGCAGAGGCGACAGCAGACACAGCAGCAGAGGCGACAGCAGCAGAGGAGACAGCCCAGGCAGCAGAGAGCGCAGCAGAGACAGCAGAGGCGACAGCAGACACAGCAGCAGAGGCGACAGCAGCAGAGGAGACAGCCCAGGCAGCAGAGACAGCAGCAGAGACAGCAGAGGCGACAGCAGAGACAGCAGCAGATGTGGGAATAGCTGGAGAAATTCACACCCATAAAGAGGAGCAGCAACACGTGGAAGGTAAAAGGCTGGCTGAGAGCCTGACCCCCTGCACAGGCTCCAAAGGGGATGGAGGTCAGCTCTGGGGCCACAGATACTGAAATTTCTCTCTCTTGGGTGGTTGAAGTTCATTTTTACCCAAACACAAAAGACTTTGGGAAGCACATTCCCTCAAAGCTCACTTCGGCTCCCAGCAAATCATTTATAAAGAGCACAGGCTATGTCAAAAATTTCCCCCCACCGAGACAGGGCTTCTCTGTGGCTTTGGAGCCTGTCCTGGAACTGGCTCTGTAGCCCAGGCTGGCCTCAAACTCACAGAGATGCACCTGCCTCTGCCTCCCGAGTGCTGGGATTAAAGGCGTGCGCCCGGCTCAACCTGCTTTCTTATAAAACCCAGGACCACCAGCCCACAGGTAGCACGACCCACAATGGACCCTCTGCCATCAATCACTAATTAAGAAAATGCCCTGCAGTCTTGCCCACAGGCTGATCTTGTTATGAAGGCACTCCCTCAAATGAGGTTCCCTCAGATGACTGTAGCTCGTGTCCAGGCGACACAGAGCAAGCCAGGACGCACTGCTAACTAAGCAAGCGTCTTTTACTGTGTCTCCCTTCACTGCTTTTTCTAGGCGAGACTGGAGAAAAGATGGACGCAGAGATGAAAAATGGGGGAGAACGTGAAGTCGAAGAAGCTGGAGCCAAAGAAGAAGAAACAGGAGAAGCTGTGGATCTTGGAGCTGCCGGGGACGGCGACAGAAGGACCTGAGCACACAGCGTGTTATAGCAAAGGGCGGGACAATCTGAGGCTATGGGGGCGGATGCTGTCTTTCTGTGGCTACATGGTTTATATACAAGGAGTGTGACTGTAGACTGTAGGAATCAAGAGGATAAATACTGTCTTTGATTGTGTTATGCCATAAAATTGCTAAACTAGACATTTTTTAATTTTAGGTACTTAGGATAATTATGCATTCAAAGTGACAATAGCCAGGACCAATAAAACCTGTGAGATCATTTAAGAAAGCAAAGGTGATTTTCTTCCTTGTGGCCATTCAGGATAAAATGAGACCCTAAAAAAAAAAAAGTATAAACTATTAGATGTATTGGGGGTGGCTAGAGAGAGGAATTAGCAAAATGTAAGCAACTCGTGATAACAGAGTTAGGTAATTATAATAATGATGGAATAAGAACGAATATCCCCAGAACACAGGACGGACTACACCCAATATTTCCGTCTTGTGATAGAAATTAGAGCTGCTGTTTGGGTGCTAGTTCAGGGTTCGGCATTTGTCACA